TGAATTATAATTTAAAGCTCAATTTTTTTTTTTTTTTAATGCTCAATTTTAAGACTATTTTAACTTTTGCCTTGGTAACTAAATCATTCCCTGTAGGATGGTTAAAACAAACAAATATTACCTGATTTGGTTTCTCTTACATCTTATTCCTTAAATATATTTCTTGAATTGTGGCAAAGGTATGAGTTTTAGATTCAACATATCTGAACATAACAAGGACACAGGCATCCAGTTGAATATTGCCCTTCCATAAATAATCCTCCTGGGAAATTATATATTTATTCTAGTACTTTTGCCATTACTTAGAATGATTTTAGAGCTTTTCTTTTGGAATTGTCTATTAAAGCCTATAGCAAAAAAATTAAAACTATAAGTATATTCCACTTGCTGAATTTCTTGACAACACAAGAACTAAATTGTGGATTAATTTCTCGAGTAAACTTGCATTAAATGATTTTTAGGTGTAAGTAATTTTGACTATAAATTCTTCATTAGATCTTTCAAGTTACTAAGCAGCTAGCTCAGTAGTAAAGGAACCATTTATTAAATTCTGTCAATCATATTGTCTTATTTTTTTCTCTGGGAATGGCTTTTATTTTTTAATAATTATTTTTCCTCTTTAAAGTTAGCATGTGCTTTTGACTAATCTTACTGACGATGAATCCTCATATTTTGAGGGTGGATTGAATGTTAGGAAACTGCCCTTTAAGCTCTTGGAGCCAAGTCTAGTTTATTTACTCACTGGACTTGGCTCCAAGAGATTAAGATCAGTCCCTTCAGAATGTTTTGATCCAAATATGACAGAATCATGATTTATTTTCCAGGCTACCTTGAGACTAATTAGGTTGCTTTGCAGACTGTAGGGGACCCAGAGGAGTTTATAATCTTTTACATAAATAAGCAAACATAAATATTCTGGCTTGTTTTTTCGTTAAAAACCATGAGTGAGGGGGTTTGGAGAAGGCTTTATAGGCAATTTTAGATAAGGACCTCTGAAAATAACGGAAAGCAGCATCACTGGAAGAAATGTATGGGCTCCTCTCTGACTGGTATGAGCAAAATTCCAACCATGCTTGGATTGTTAGAGTGCTTACTAAGTTGTATTTTGTTATCATGGAAACCTAAACCTTCACTTTTTTCTTTTGCGGACAACTAAGGACATAAAAATTAACAATAGTGTAGGTTTATATGAAGTTGAGAAGCTTTTAAACGTTAACTATTTTGGAATGCTAACTTAGTGTAAGAAAAGCCTTGTACACTACTTCAAATTACATAGATAAATTAATTATGGTTTTGTTTTTATTTTATTTCTACCAATGTGAGTGAGACCTTTTTATAGCTTTGTATTCAGATTTTTTTTTAATGTAAGAAGATACTCTGTTCAATTATGGAAGCATTGTAGCACAGATTCAGTTCCCTAATCTACAGGTTGTAGGTAAAGATGACAGGGTTTAAGGTAAGAAGGAAAACTTGTGATAATGACAGCTTTAATTTTGACCCTCCTGCACCTGTCCAAGGGAGGTCAGAGTATCACAAGGCTTTCCTTCCAAAACTTTCCTTCCCAAGATGGAAATGGAATCAGGTTTGACTTATGGGAGTTTGAGAAGGGGACTGTAATTTTGTATTTTTATTGCCAACTCTTTTTGTGGTGCTCTGTCCTTTTTTATTTTCTGGCTCTGCTGCTTGAATCAGAATTTATTGCCAACTCTAACAGGTATTTTAAGCTACTTAGAGATTTTAGGTTTTTAAATTTAGTTGTTTTGTAGCCCTAACATTCTCTCTGATAAAAGTGGTAGACTGGCTTCCACTTTCAAAACATAAGTAGATACTGTTTGTGGTCATGATATTTTATGGTTTCCAGCGAATTCCTGAGAATTAGCATTTCATGTACAGTAATTTTTGTTTTGAAATTATTACCATTCTTAAATACCTTTGTGGATTATTTTATTCCTTTCTGCTGCTATACATTAGCTCTTTAGATAGAAATCTTTGGAAATGAATTTTTAGTTTTGTCAACTAGTGATAATAGTAAATGCTACTATTTAATATTTGTATTGTTGAAAACAAAATGCCTTACATATTAGGAGTGTTTATATTTTAGTAAAAGTTTAAAGCATTTTCTAAATACTGTTATGTTTACAAGTAGATATTTAAGAAACTCAGTTTTTTGGTGATAAAACACATATGCCTCTCTTTACTGATTCTACTCCCCACGCTGATCTTAGTAAATTATTTCTGAACAACCAGGTGGCCTATAGGTAAGCAAGCTGACACTAAATTCTCACTTAGATTATGATGTTGTGAATGAGATTTGTCAGGATACTTCATGGTGCACGAACATGTTTGGTATTAGGGGTTCTTTTTCTATCATTTTCATATTACAAGCTGTAATTGATTTGGAGGCAGTGTTGCTTGTGTAAGAGTCACTTATTTAGAAAATGAATAACTTTACTAAGGTAAAAGTGGGCACTGTGACTTATTTTTATGTGGTTAATGTATATAGTCTTTTACATTCAGTTTGCAGAAAAGTTTCAGGAATTTAAAGAAGCTGCTCGACTAGCAAAGGAAAAATCACAAGAGAAGATGGAACTTACCAGTACACCTTCACAGGTGGGTATTTCATTTCTATTCTTATTTTTGAGCCTTGTTCATTTTAGATGCTATCCTTTATGCCAGAGTTGAATTTGGGAAAATAATGGCAAAATTAATTTCCAAAGTAGATACAGAAATGCACCCTTTAATCTGTGCATCCATGTACTAACCCAGGAGTTTGAGGTTACAGTGAGCTATGATCACCCCACTGAGCTCCAGCCTGGGTGACAGAGAGAAACCCTGTCTCTAAAAAAAGAAATATCTTATGTTCATCAGTATTTGACAGCCATAATATATGGACTTTAATTAATCTTTTCAAAACATTTAAAGTCTGATTGTGAATTTAATGTACAGAAGCCAGAGAGGATAGTTTTTAAAAGGTATTTCTTTCATTTCTCTTTTTTTCCCTTTCCCCATTTTGTGGCAATCCCTAATGTTTCTGTTTTAGTTTAAATTGTATGATCATTGGCCACTCCTATCTTACCTAAAATGCAGAGCTTGATTCCACTGGTTTAAGCCAGTCTGCTGAATTAATGCTCTACCTAAAGAATAGACTACTACTCAGGAATTCAGCAAAGGGAAGGTTAAATAGGATAATTAATCAATTAATCAATAGTCGATAATAGTAGACACTTAACTGGTCATAGCTTTTGTTTTTATTTGAGGGAGGTATAAGACACTAGGTAAGAATATGAGTTATCTGGCCGCCGGGCATGGTGGCTCACTCTTATAATCCCAGCCCTTATGGAGGCTGAGGGGAGAGGATCACTTGAGGCCAGAAGTTTGAGACCCTGTCTCTACAAAAAATGAAAAAAATTAACTAGGCGTGGTGGTGTATGCTTATAGTCCTGGCTAGTTGGGAGGCTGAGGCAGGAGGATCACTTTAGATCAGGGGTTCAAGGCTGCAGTGAGCTATGATCATGTCACTGCACCCAACCTAGGGCAACTAGAGCAAGACCCTGGCTCAAAAAAAAAAAAAAAAAACAGTATGAGGGCAAACTTACACATAAATTCTTTTTCTGTTGTTCTATTATCTTGGGAAAGTTGCTTAGCCCAAGTGTGTTTATACCTCTGTAACATGAGTATTATATTACTTATCGTATAGGATTGTTGAAAGGAATAGGTATAATAATGACATTGTCAGGTCATGGTTAATAATGTGGGGTCCAACCCTTACTAGTTTTCTGAGCTCAGGCAAGTTACTGTTTTCTTCATCTATAAAATGGCAATAAGAACAATATGTCTGTATTAGGGCTATTATGAGAATTAAGTGAGGATCATAGAAAGTGCTTATTAACCTATAGTAAATGCTCAATAAATGTTAACAACTGTTGTTGGTAATGTGGTTGTAATGGTGAGGATGATGGAAAGTCTTAACAATTATCTAGAAAAATACAGATGCTTAAATTATATAAATCCTGCATCAGAATTCCCTGGAAGACTTGTTAAAACTCAAATTGCTACATCCCACCCCTAAAGTTTCTGATTTAGTAGGCCTGAGATGGACCCTGAGTATTTGCATTGCTAATCTATTTTGAGAAGACGTTGATGCTATTGGTCTGGGGACTACCCTGTGAGAAGCAGTGCTGGTGGGCAAACCATTCACATCCCTAAAGGCTTGTGGTGAAAGGAGTCTTAGCCTTAAAGTTAGCCACTTCCCCCATTCTTAGACTCTTCAGCTACAGTCATACACTTGGCTTAGTTTGGAGAGAAATGAAGCCAGAAAGAGCCTGACAAAGTAGTATAATAGAAGAGGGTAAGAGATTGTAGTAAGTGTTGATGGAGTTGAAGAGCAGGCAGAAGGAGAGTGGGATAGATTAGGAAGACAGGTTTTATAGCACAATTCCTCTTATCTGTGGAAATCAAAACCAGTAACTGATCAATTAACCAGATAAGTTAACATGAGGATTTTTTTAAAAAAAGATTCTTACTTTAAAATTTATAAGTTAAAACTCAGTGTTCAATTTATTCACCAATATTTTGGTGTAAAACCTTTGAATATGATCTATTGATTGGAATCCCACATTCTTTCTTACATAAACTATACTTAATAGTTAATTGTCCACAATTTCCAGCGGTTTTTTTCTTTTTCTTTTTTTTTGGGTGCAACTAAACCTTGGCACTTGCAAAGAAATCTAAGTGTGCTATAAATAGATTTTTATGTCATTTTTCTGATATCATATGGTAGCATATTATATATATTATGTAATAGTAGATATACCTAATTCAATTGTGGATTTTATTTGAATTTTTAGCCATTTACCTTTTAGTCATTGCAAAGTATTTAGCTTGGTTTTCATTCAAATAACTACTGTAGTTTTTCATTCAGATTTTATAAGTTTTCATAATATTTAATTCATTTATATAATTATATAAATACAGTTGGCATAAATAGCTTTGGGACAAATACAGCTGACTCTTGGCAAGCATTTAATGCAGCTGGTGGGTGCCACATAACGCAAACAGTAGAGATTAACTCACTAGCCCTAAGCCTCAATCAGCTGGTACCCTTTAGTAGGGAAGGAAGAGCATGAGTTAAGCCAGAGAGTCAGATTACAAGAACTTCTGTGGTTGTCAACAAATGGAATTTTGGAGATAGTAGCTGTGAATAGTGACCAGGTATAAGGAATAATTTATGACAGGAGATAAGGAGATGCGTGCCTGAGATCTCAGCCTCATCTTCCTTTACATATCCTTTTGTTCTTCTGATCTCTTTCCATTTCTTTCCATTCCCACTGCCATGGGAACTCAAAATCATTAGCTCCTCCCCTGATTTTTCCGGTCAGAGCCTATGCTCAGAAAAGAGTGGTGTTCTCATCTTTCTTTAGGTATAAAGCGGGGAATGTTTGTTAAATGATAAAGAGAGGACCCTGTTTTACTTAAGCCAACAGGATGAAACTGTAGCAGGAATTTTAATTCCAGGCTTTATTGGAATTAAATGGAAGGTGGTAGTGGTATTTGGTGTAGTGGGCAGGGCAGTGCTTCCTGGACCTCCCACCCAACCCTTCAGCTGCAGAGTGGTGTGGTGATACCACCCTAGAGGCTTGTCCTGGGCTAAGGGCCAAAGTAATTTCTTTTTCATGTGTTTCAGAATATTCCTAGATTTTGGGCTTTCTTGCTGCTTCATAAATGGGCTAGAAGAAAGAATTCTTAAGCACTTCCTGAATCTTACATCTGTGCTTATTTGTTAGTGTGTTGATTTCCTTGATACTCTTCAGATTTTAATTTCAAAAAATACATATTTTTTCCAATTTGACCGCCATTTTTCTTTTTCTGCTTCAGATTATTTGTTTTGTTAAGGGGCGTGGGGAGATTGCCCAAAAACAAAATGAGTTGTGAGTGGTTTTATTTTTCTCAAAATAAGGAGGTAAAGGCAATAGAAAGGTTCATTAGATCTGTTTTTATTCCCATTTTATTTGCTTTTTTCATTTTTCTTATCAACTTTGGTATACATATTACATATTTGGATATACACATATATATCAAAGAAGATATTATCTGATAACTTTTTTCCTTAAACATTTACTATAGAAGTGGCCAGCCATATTAGCTTAAGAATCTCCTTATAAAGAGAAATTACCATTTTTTTCAGAAGTTTGTAATTAATAAGTATACTGCCAAGTTTTTTATTTTAACGTTTGGTTTGAAGATATAAAACGTTCTAAAGAATAACCGAAGTTAGATGTTTAGGAAATTATATAAAATTTAGATTTAAAAAGAACTAGATGTTTAGAATATGTTAAATAAAAAATGAGTTTCACAGTGCTATTTTTAGCATATGTAAAATTTTTGGAAGGTTTTACAGAGCACTTTTGGCTACCTGTGAAGTAGTTGGAGGGAAAGGAGGTTTCATTTTCCTTTCATGTCCTTAAGTACTTTTGGAACTTTTTCTTGTTCTCATGAGCAAATATTAATTTTATCTTTTAAACCTACTTTTAAAAAACCATGCTTTCGGTAGGCTTTTGTTTTTCATTTTAGAAATAATGATCTAGGAAAACTAAATATGCCTTTAGTTAAATATAGCTAATATTCAAATTTTCTGAAGAAAAACTATTGAGATGTTGGAATTGTTGCAACCTCTATCCCTTTCTTCCTCCCCTCCCTTCTCTCCTTAACTCGCCTCTGAGAACAGTCTTCATACTTCAGTACTTCAGTAGTGGCAACATTTGTTGCCTCCTTGGATCCTGTACCGCATTTTACCCCTGAAGAGACAGAAGTGTTTATCCCCAGAAGTTAGTAAGAACCAGGAATCAAATGGCTATTCTTCTTCCTCTCTCTTTTGATCCTAATCTACTGTCGTCCTGCATTCTCTGGTCAACTGATTTCAGCAGATCCTGGAGTTAATCCTTAGTTGCTAACCCTGCTTATTCCCTTTCAGTTTAACAAGGTAATTTGTTTCTGTTATCATTTCTACTAAATCAAATGTTGGCCAGTTTAACTGTGTAGCAATTTGGACAGTCTACCTTTATCATTTTAGTTTACTTGGCCTGTCTTGGAGAAAAATAGGCCTGATTTATTAATATCAAAGATAATAAACTCACAGTTTCTTCCTGGCTGCTTAAACTTTTTCTGACTAATTTGTATGGTCCAAAATTGACCTAGAAGTAGTCACTTTGTGGTTGCTGTTTCCAGTATTTACTTTGTAGGATTTGACTTTTTTGTGAAACAATTTTATGTTGTTTCATTATACTATAGACTTTATTCATGCATTTACTATCAGTTAATGGAAACAGGATTTGTGAGAAATATTTAGTAAGAATGAAATTAAAGGTCAAAATAGAGATTCCACTAATCATTGAAAAGTGTTAAGTGATAATATGGAATTAAGAAAATATCTCAGGAGTTCGAGACCAGCCTGAGCAAGAGTAAGACCCTGTCTCTACTAAAAATAGAAAAATTAGCCAGGTGTGGTAATACATGTCTGTAGTCCCAGCTACTTGGGAGGCTGAGGCAGGAGGATCACTTGAGCTCAGCTGTTCAAGGTTGCTGTGAACTATGCTGATGACGTAGCACTCTAGTCCGGGCAATGGAGTGAGACTCCGTCTTGAAAAAGAAAAAAAAATGAAAATATCCTTTTGATATTGTATAGTTTATAGCACTATGGTACTATTAGTTAAAATATTTAAATGTGAAATAAAATACATACAGCAATATAAAACCAGAAGTCTCAAAAAAGGAAGTCTCACCACATTAATATTTTTCATATTTCTTTCTAGTACTTTGTGTGCAACATTTTAAATATAAAGTATGTAAATTATGATAACCTAGACATGACTTTATATTTTTGTGTTTTTTCCTAATATAAGCATTTTCCTGCATTGCTCATGTTCATCTTGTTTTTGAGGAAATTGTGTATTCTTTTAAATTGACAAATTATGATCATACCTAACCACTCCCCTGTTGAACACTTCTATTTTTATTTTCTTCCTTAATGTAGACTAATACTTTAGTTGCGAAATTTTATTGCCCAGGCATCATAAGAGTTCTGTCAGTCTGATCTCTCACACTCTGGTGCTAGGACCTCCCCTAGTTAACAGATTTATCAAATGACTCCTCATTCTGATTTCTAATATCACATTTGAATAATCTGATGATGGCAGACTCGAGAATAAGTGTCAGCTTCATTTTAAAATGAACTGTGGGCTTCATTTTAAATTCCATTTATTTTCCAGAGGGGATAAATTAAATTTACTTTGAAAGGCAAATCTTAATTAAAAGTAGAAATAAGACAAGAAACTTTGTGAAGAAAAATAATTCCATTACGAGACAAGAAAATCTGAAATGCACTAACATCATTATATATAAAACGTTACAGAGGCACTTCTGATTGCTTTTCTAAGTGGCTCTATAGGAATTTGAAAAGTAGGTAGGACAGATTAAAAAAAATTAAAACTTGTTGCAGATTTCATTGTCCCTTTTGCCCTTCTCCCCTCCTCATTCTCTTCTTCTCCTGTACACCTCCTGTTCTCTACTTCTTCCTGCAAAATAAAATCAAATCACATCTTGCATTTTTGTGTCATCTTCTTTTTCTTCTGAGGTATAGTGTGATTCTTTGAATATCTTTTTATTCTGACCAATTAGTTACTTATATAAACCCAAAAGTTTTTCACTTTGAAACTACATTTCAAAATTGTGTTATGGTTCAGTGAGTTTTTTTTATGAGTTGCTGTGCTTCAAAATAGTTTTCCTTTCAAATTTTATTTTTTTAAGTCTTTGACTCAAATTTCCATCGAAATTTGATTCATCAGTAAGCATACATCAAAGTCAGTTTTAACTTTAAGATGATACTGTGTACTTTAACAAAAGCATAACTCATTTTTTATCTCCCACCCCTTTTTTAAAGGAATCAGCAGGTGGGGATCTTCAGTCTCCTTTGACACCAGAAAGTATCAATGGGACCGATGATGAAAGGACACCTGATGTGACACAGAACTCAGAGCCAAGGGCTGAACCAACTCAGAATGCATTGCCATTTACGCATAGGTACAGATTCAATTCAGCAATCATGATAAAGTAAAGTGTGTAAGTGTGGAAGTTTGTTTGGTTTCAGGAACTCTTGCAGTTACAACCTTTGAGTGAAAACTCCAGGTCAGACTCTTTTTTTCACTGCTTCTGTTAACCTCAGAAAGGAAATACAGAAAAATTTTATTGATTTATAGCTGCTAGTTGCCTAGATGGACTAGAGTGAACATTTCGCTTATGTGGTAAAAGGAGTACTGAGCTAATTACAGTACCAATTGTTTTTCAGTGAAACAAAATATTGTAAATTGCTTCTACCTATTTTTCAACATACCCCTTATGAAGTCTCCCTTTGTTAACCCAGTTTCGTGTGTGTTCTCGGAGGTTGTAAGTTGTAATTTTGTCAAATAGGCTTTCCACTCTGAAATTAAGCTTTACCATAGTCTTAGCGGTGATTTCACCTCACCACATGATTTCACAGAAGGGAACTGGGGGGGTAACTTCTAGCGTGAGCTTGTTAATGTTAACGACAGATTTATCTTTAAACACAACTAACAGAAGATCAATTTTCACTTGCTTCTGAATTTTAAAAGAATTCGATATTCTGAAAAGGTACAGTTTATCCTAAATGTGTTCTAAACCACTTACATTAATTATTAGTCGTACTGTGGTATTTTTAGGATGTAAAGAAGTCTATGAAATTGCAGTAATGCAAATGTAAAACAAACACCTGTCAGTCATCTGTCTTAATTTTTGTTCTCATTTGGAAACTTTTCACTAGTTTTAGTTAAAATTATGAGGACAATTTTCCTTTATTGTACATTTCTTTTAGGGACCAATTTTTTTAAAAAAATCAAATTATTTGACATATTAAGAATTGTAAAGTGAGATAGTCATTCCAGACTTTTTGTCATGAGAATTTTTATTTCGACTGAAATTTGTTGACTATCAGGGGCATAAGATTAAACATATTAGAGACTAACATTGAGGGACCTCCTGGTCAAGATGAGGAAGAAGAAAAAGTTAGTTAAGGTGTTTTTTAGGAATGAATAGGGAGAGACTATTTGACTATGAGGCTATTCTAATTTGTTGCTAAAAATGATAATTTTGCATAAAACAGTGGACATTTTGGAGTTATGGATTTCATGCTTTATTGCAGCATGAACATATTTTTATAGCTATAAAGATGACTGAACACATGAAAATTTTTAGTTTCTCTGATCTGAAGACTATATGTACACATAGATTTGTTAAACATTCACTCTTTTAAAATATGCAATTACAATTAAAGAATGATGTTATTAGAATGCAGTTTTTAAAAATATTTTACTTATATTGAGGGAAGGAAATTATATTTAACATGGGCATTTAATGAAGACTGAACTGCAACTAGACATTATTAAATACTTGATTTCTAACACTTCAATTGAGCCATCTGCATTGAATACTGTAGCATTTAGAATTAAGAATTTTTGTATTTAACATTTGTAAAAGCTATTTCTAGTTTACTTATGCACCTAAAATTTTCTAAGTGTTTACTATATAGCTAATCCTTAGCATTTGGAATTACATCTGGAATTGGTCTTCTACTGATTTTTCTCTGTTTTTAGGAGTCTAATAGGAGTTACTTTGACTTAAAGATAGAGCTGCTTTGACTACTGGAATTCATAGATTAGCCATGGAAATATTTGACAGAGTTCTGAAAATAAAATTTAGCGGGTCAATTTCAGCTTTTAACTATGTTAGAGGCATAATGTAACTTTATAGTTTTTCTGATTATTTTAAAAATACTTAACTATAGGATTTCAGAAGACGTTCTCTGAACTCGTTTTGATTTTATATTAATTAATCAATATTTAATAGTTACTTGACTAAAATCAAGATTTCTACCTGAGGCAACAGATAATTTTACAGCTAATGTTAGAATCCCAGAATATCAAAACTGGAAGAGGCCTTGGAGATGGTATAATCTAAGATTTTCCAAACCACGGTAGTTTTAAATCAGCTTAATAGATTATTCATGGCATTCTGAAAGATGAAATATAAAACCAAATAGAAAACATCAGAGTAAAACTCACATTAAGAGTAGAAACTATTTCAGAAATATACTTGTATATGTATGTGCTGGATTACAGTGTAAAATGTCAAAGTTTAAAAGTATGTGCCTTTGGCACGTGGAGACTAAATCCCAGAGGGTAATTGAGTTGTCCTGGGTCACATAGTTCATTAGTAACAACTGTGAGATTACGGCTCAGATCTTTAATCCTAGTATATATTGTCAGTTAGTTAACAGTGCATTTTAGCCAAATTCCCAACACAAGTACATTGTTATATCAGAAAGTTAATAACTATTTCTGTCTTAGGAGACCAATATAAAAATAAGATCAGTGTTTCATGAATTAGAGACAGAGTGAATATTAAAATAATGTTTATTTAAATCTGACACAAGTAAACTGGATATATATTTTTTCTGATGGCAAAGGAACACAAGTAAAATCTTATGTTTTTAAGGCTTATTTAGACTATTTATTTTGCCTGCCTTCCTTAACACATGTTTAAACAAAAAAGAATAAAGAGCAAAAAAAATTTTTGCCACTATTTCTCTGTTCTGGTTGCTCCCATTTTGTTGTAAATAAGGAGCAAAATCAGTAGAATGTGTTTAAAACAAAAACCGGGGATATAGGGAATGGTGATCTAAGCAGTCAAGTTAATTAAGAGTTGACTGTAGTAATAGCTATTTAGCAAGCCATTTGTGCTCTTCTTAAAATTCAAATTTTATGCCTAAATCTCATGAGTTTGTTAATTAACATACCAAAAGCAGATCCTGGTTTTCATTTAGCTCTGAAAATTTTAGTAATGTGGTTAGTTTGTTCTTTATTCTTTGTAAGTTTTGTTTATTTTTAAAAAGTTATTACTTAGCTTTAGAGAAATAAGAGTTTTTGTTTTTTATTTTTAATATAACCTTTTATTATAAAAATTTTCAAATATATTTGAGAGAGAATACTATAATAAACCTTTGTGAGCATATTACGCATCTTCAACAGTTATGAAAAAATGGCCAGCCTTGTTTCATCTCTACCCCCACTTACTCCTACCACTATGTTGTTTTTAAAACAAATCCCAGACATAATTTTATCCACAAATACTTTTTAAAATTACTTTTGAACTTTTCAAAAACTTACTAAGCTATTATGACTTTTATATTATATATGATTCAGTGCCATTACAGGTTACTTTTAATCATTTACCACTTTCTTTGATTTGTAATTATGCTGCTAAACTAAATTTTAAATGTAGGGGCTGCTAATACTCCTTAATCAAGTGCTATAGTACTGTTTTATGTCCTTGTCATAAACTATGCAAAAAAATTCTCATTGAGTAAGTTTCAGTGAATTAATACTTTTTTAGTGTACTTATTTAAATTCTTTAAAAAGTTGAGGGATACATAAAAAAAGGCAAATCATGAGAATGAAATGCTTACTAATTTCTTTAGGGAAGTGTTACTAAATTTTATCTAAATTGCTGTTTCTTTCTAAAAAAATTATTTTTTTAACCTAAATGATAATATTGTGTTAGGATTGAGCCAGGTGTATACTCTGGCCCACTGAAGTCTTCAGGACATCCTTTGAGACCACAGTCAATTAGCTATACACCAAGTAAAGTAGCTATATATTAATAGATTAGTATATGCATATGGGGGAAGGTTTTGTTCTCTCATTTCAGGAAATTATTTCACAGCATCAGCTGTGTGGCATTCTAGAATTTACTTGTTACTTCTTACAAATAATAAATAACAGGGTTTTTTTTTTTTTTGAGACAGAGTCTCACTGTGTTGCCCGGGCTAGAGTGCCGTGGCATCATCCTAGCTCACAGCAACCTCAAACTCCTGGGCTGAAGCGATCCTCCTGCCTCAGCCTCCCAAGTAGCTGGGACTACAGGCATGCGCCACCATGCCCGGCTAATTTTTTCTATATATTTTTAGTTGTCCAATTAATTTCTCTGTATTTTTAGTAGAGACGGGGTCTCGCTCTTGCTCAGGCTGGTTTCGAACTCCTGAGCTCAAACAATCCGCCCGCCTCAGCCTCCCAGAGAGCTAGGATTACAGGCGTGAGCCACCGTGCCCGGCCAATAATAGGGTTTTTAAAAAACATTTAAAACCACCTAAAATTCTCTTGGAAATAGTTAATTTTATAGTATTCCAGTGCTGTTGGAATGTAGTACTGAAATGTAATACGGAAAACCAAAAGTTTTTGTTTGTCTGTTTCAATCTTATGATCCTCACATATGCAGTACTATGTCAATAAGTAACTGTGATCATAGTTTTGAGAGTTCAGAACAGATATATATACATTAGCAGTTTGTGAAGCTGTTTTTGTACTGATAAATTCTGATAACAGTTTCATTACCTTAATGGAAAATAGACTCTTTTGAGCACCAAGTATATTTGGATTCTTCTAATGTTAAGATAATGTATTCTCATGGTGCTTCTAGAATTTATGGATTCTGTGGATACTGCATGTATCTTCTGTTAAAGAGATTTTTCTGCCACTTCATGTATTTCCAACAGATACTTATTAAAGGTTATATGCAGAAATGTTACTTTCTAGTATATCGGTTTTGCTTTAAATCAGTATAACTACAATTTTACCAAAACCTAATGACATCTGTGTGGGTTCACTCCATTTGTATTTATTAAAGTTTTATGCATTATCAAAGTTTCAGAAAGCCACTACTTTAAAATTCTGACTAGGGATTTCTGTACAATTTCAAAAACTAAATTTCTTCGGAAATTTTACATACCATTTTAACGCAAGTAAAAAAATACGAAAATAAAATAAAGTATTTATATTTAACAAAACAAGTTAAAATAAAAAAAGAGCTTTATCTTGAATTAAATATAGTTTGTACTTTGCTTTGAAGATGATACAAATACGATAAAAGTGAATGGCTGTTAAGAATTTTGAGGTGCTGTTTTCTCCACACTGTAGCATCTATTTTCCTTTTTATAGGTAGTAAGCAAAACT